TTGTCAGATTGAGATTGATACTGCTAACAGAATGAATTACTAAATTGATTTCCACAGCAGCTGCTGCGCTGTTGTTGTAGTAGTTGGCCTGTGTTTATGTGTTGTAGCAATTAATAGTGTTATGGAAATTGTCTTTAATTTAAAATAAAACAATTTTTTTTAGGTCTTTTCGGTCTTTTTCTGTTAACTTTAATTTTGTAACTGATAGTGTCAAGCTCTGCTGAATGAAAAGATTATTTCCTCTTCCTGTAGGTCCATTCATTTTATGCATTGCACAAGTCATGCATCCCCAATATGGTTTGGGTAATTTTTATTCATCCATTTTCAAGAACTCTATTTTTGTTCTCATTACTGGGAAATATACTAGAAAATGTCTTGTGCGCCCCCGAGGTGGGTTCTTTCCCCTTGCTTAGTATCTAAGAATGGACTCCCCGTCCAGGCCCTTAGGGTGTAATGTGTTAAGTTATTGTGTCTGGCTTGGACTGGGAGAGAAAGACGACTTGAGCAAATTGAACAGATGCAGGTTAATTTACGTTTTGTTGTTAAAATTTTATTCTCTTATTAGACCCAATGCTGGTCATTTGAAGGTGTGTCGCTTGGTTCCTTGTAAGGCTTGCAATTGACAGGAATTGTTTTCGAATGTAAGAAAATAAATAATGCAGACCCCCTCTCAAACTTATGAATGGTAGGGTAAAGTTGATGACCTACTGCATTCATTTTCTCACAGTGGTAATTTTTGCATTCTTTTGTGGTATGGTAGGAGAAACTGAATAATTTTTTAAAGAGTGTTTTTGCCCATAAAACTTACTGAATGCAATTCATAACACTTGAATGTCAGAATGAGAGTCTTAATAAGACTTCAGAAAAGACTCCTTATTTGGGTATTAGCTTTTATATTTCTTTGAAAAGATTTCTTTTCATCACAGTGTCTCAATGGGGAATCATATGCTCCTCCTTTGAATAAAATCTTTAAAGTATTTTGGGAGTGTTTAAACAAACAAATAAACCCAAAAAAACCCAGCCTTGTATGATATGATAACATTTCAGTATGAATTTCGTAATCCATTAATGAAGAATTAATAAAAATTGAAAAATGACATGTTTTGAATTTGTTCTGCTTCCAGGGAGCTGCGCAATGACATCTCGGAGTATGACTTTTGTAACTTTGTGTGGCGCTTGCATCAGAACATCCGGCATTGGGCAGCTAGTCAGAAAGTAGAATGTGCTCAGATGGTGGACTACCTCTCTCTACGTAACTTGCTGGCCATTCTTGAGAGTTCAGGTCTCGGCAGGTGGGTTCTGTTTCATAAAAGTGTATATTTCTGGATATTTCGCTCAAATAAGATAAACAGGTGTGTTTTGTTCAAGAAAATAATAGTCTTCAGTTTTCCAAACTAATTTTGTACCCATGTATAACACTGTTCTTCAGCAAACATTTAAAATAGAAACATTTTGTATTTAAATCTTTTTGCTGAAGAGTTTCCTGGTGTTTTCAATGGAAATACACACTTTTTGGTACTTTTTGATTTGTGAAAAGCTTCTGTATTAGTGTGTCATCTCTGTTTTCAACAATATACCTCTTGTCTGGTCACTTTACATATTGACTGCTTGGTGTAAGACTCTGCCACACATATATAGTGGAGTCTTAACTCCTCACTGAGCACCACTCCTGCAGCATACGCGGTCTGGTAAAATTCACATCACGGACCGCGACCGCAGCGTACGTGGGTTCAACTATAATTGACTATAAAGTAAACCCATCGGTTTAAAAATGCTTGCATATTGCCCCAGTGGTTCAAACAGGATATCGACAGGCTAGTTCTTTGTGGTTTGTGTATATTCACCACTTTTTGTGCGAATAAACGGGTTATTTGTCCAACAGACTGAACAACTTAAAGTAAGGAACTTCTGCGCAGTCCGTTGTTGTTTCTCATACGTGAAGCATGGCACGGCGAGTTGTGTCGAAGTTTATTGAAACTCTCGATAATTTTTGTGAAAATTTAAGTGACAGTGAAGTATCAGATAGATAACCTCATAAATCAAAATGTGAATTCGCCTAGCAGTGATGAAGACGACTGAAAAAACAACATTAGATCTAGGTCTAAGCCAACATCGTCTCTCGGTCGTGAATCTGACTCGTCAGGGAGTACACAGCCTGGTCCGGCTGGGGATGATAATAGATCTAGCCCCGGTACTAAACTCTAGTGCAAATCAGCCCTCAAAGTGGAAAAGATATAATGTACTCAGACTTGGAACATCTATTGACAGATCTAGTCCTAGCACTAGCAGCACTGACAATGAAAACTCTTCTCAGCCTGTCACCGAGGAAGATCTAGATCTATAATATAATTTTTTAATTTTTCAAAATTAATTATCACTTACGTTTATATGCTGCTTCACTGTTCACACTCATGCTTCATTCTTCTACACACAAACACACACTGCCACTACCATTTTGTGTAAGTTTATTAGATTTCTACTTTGTCACACCTTTTCCTTTTATTTTCATTTTTTTTTTCTGGGGCAAATTTGTCCCAACTTTATGTCCCATACATTTTTTTGTCATTCTTTCCTCACAAAATGTGTTTGTTGTGTCTGTTGAACCAGTATCTTATTAAATAGCACAGATAATTTCACAGAAATAGAATTTCATTTCAATTTTTTATGAATTTTCAAAAAGTGGGGGAAATGGGTGGTCCCATGGGGCTTGGAGGCAAATCGGGGCGTGATGCTCAGTGAGTTAATCTGAGCAGTCCATATGCGCCTTTACTTTAGACATATGCCAATGGCAGCCAAACTGTTTATTGCCTTTTGTTATGCAAAAAGAAAATATTTTCCTCAGAGTGGGAGCGTTTGAGGCCCAGTACCGCATGCCAGTGAAGGCGGAGCTTTGCCCTCTGGAGTATGAGAGCGACGAGGAGGAGCTGGATGCAAGCGGGCCTGACATGGACGTCTCGAGGGATTGGGAGCGCGTCCCGTCTGGCTTGCCGTCGTATGAGGCCGCCAACATGGGTGTGTCGGCGCCCGTGGACACCTCCACGACCGGGGCCTTTCTCAACGCTGCGGCCAGCCTCACGGGCTGGTTCAAGTCCTACTACAATAAATGACCCGTGCTCAGGATCAGGTGTGGGCGAGAGATGGGGGAGCGATTCGAATGAGGGTTATCTAGACAGCTGCCCCAATGGACCAACAGTTCTCAAAGTGTTAACATTTTTATAGGAAAGCATTGCCTCATAAAATTGGTGAAAATTGAACAGAACTGGTCCATTAGTAGAAAATATGAAAATTTAGTTTTGACAAAGGCAGCAGCTTATCGTAAGAAAAATGAAAGTATATTGTTTAGAGAAAAGTTTCATTTATGATATTGAGGTCAAGCTAATGTTTATGGTTGGGGTTTTAATTGCTGTTATGTCTTAATTTTCTCTGGATGTAGGTGGGAGGCAGTTGGTGTAGAACCCTTGGTAAGGCTGTATTGGTGAGGTACTTACATAAAATTTACAATTTGGTCTTCCGTGCAGAGATGTGAAATCGTGGAGACACAGCAAAGACCTGTAACTTTAAAGTTAGTGAAGAAAAAAAAAATTACTTTTTTTCCTTTGACAGTGGTGAATTGAATGCACCAACACCTGTTTTCATAGAAAAGGAAAGTTTTAGCTGATTTGGGGAATACACAGCTTTGGTCAAGATTTTTTCACAATAGGTATTTTGCAATGGTTGGCTTCTTTGATGGAACAGTTACATTTCAAGCTTAAGTAAAAAAGAAATGAAAAAAATTTCACTAAATTGACAGAGGAAACTGTCCTGGGTTTGGAGGTTTTTGGGTATAGTGCTTCCAAGTTGTAAGCCCACGCTGTTCCTGGAGAGTGTATCTTGAATGATAATAGGGCTACCTTTTTACTACTTTTAATGTTGTGTGTATCAGTGCTTTTTAAAAATTTGTCTATACTCTTTGCTTTTGTACTCTCTATACAATTATTTTCCCCTTTTATTATATAATTTACAGAATGTCTATGTGCCTCTTGGGTAGAGGGAAGCTTAGGCAAAGTAAATTCAACAGCGCACAGTGGGTCGCTGAGTAGTGCCTTTTGGGGGTTGTCAATCATCTTCTGCTCAAAGGTAGGAACATTTTAGCAATAAACTTTTATAAAAATCTTGCCACTTAAATTAGGTTAATCACAGTCAATAACAGAACCATTGTCCAACTTTCTGTAATTACGGAACAGATGAGGTTATGACTGCAGTGTGACACTAATTGTTGATGTTCGCTCAAAACATTTTAAGAAATGATGATTGAGTTCCATTTGTTCGTGGTCTTCATTGAAAGTGCGATGAAGGTAAGCTAAAAATCGTGTGGCTTGAAATTCAATGAAAAAATAAATGCCGCCTTGAAATCTGAAATGGAATGGTTTTAATGTAAATTCATCTGGGTTGTTTGTGAAACATTTGTTTCTGAAAATCCTGGTCTCCTTCACATGTTTATTTTCACTTTTGGCTTACTCTTTTTTGTTTTGGTTGTGATTTAAGGTTAAGCAAGGCTCATCAAGCTTATATAATGTGGACAGTTTGCCCTTTTTTTTTCTCTTTGCTGATTGGTCATGAAATGTGTTGATTTATCTAGTCAGTGCTAGATGTGTATGACTATGTCAGTGTTTTAAAAACAGAAACATCCCATCAATATGTGAATGAGTTAAGAGATTTTTATTTTGCTTGGTAATTTTTAAAATGTTTCATTGGTTACCCCATATCAATATCGAGACTATGACCCTTTAAAGAGACACTTTGAGAAACATAAGATTGTTGTACTTTCTTGTATGGTATTGTTTTAGAATTTTTAACAAAATCATGCTTGTGAGTCATCAGTTTATTTAGAGGTCAGCCCATCAGCCCCGTAACTGTTCTGTGTGATGTTGGGGGGGGGGGGGGGGGGGGGGTTGTCAGATTGAGATTGATACTGCTAACAGAATGAATTACTAAATTGATTTCCACAGCAGCTGCTGCGCTGTTGTTGTAGTAGTTGGCCTGTGTTTATGTGTTGTAGCAATTAATAGTGTTATGGAAATTGTCTTTAATTTAAAATAAAACAATTTTTTTTAGGTCTTTTCGGTCTTTTTCTGTTAACTTTAATTTTGTAACTGATAGTGTCAAGCTCTGCTGAATGAAAAGATTATTTCCTCTTCCTGTAGGTCCATTCATTTTATGCATTGCACAAGTCATGCATCCCCAATATGGTTTGGGTAATTTTTATTCATCCATTTTCAAGAACTCTATTTTTGTTCTCATTACTGGGAAATATACTAGAAAATTTTTTTGGGGCCCCCCCCCCCCCCCCTCCCCCAATAGGAATAAGAAGCAAACCCCCCCCCCCCCCCCCAAAAAAAAACAACAACCCATGGTTCTTTTAACAATGATGATCGTTTCAGTCATGAAATTTTTTCGTTTCAACTTCAACAACAAAGTGCTGATCCCGGAGGCGATGACTTTTCCGGATGGCAACATAAAGTGGACTAGCCAAGCACTTTGAATTGGATAAAAGCCCAAAATTAATGTAATGTATGAAAGACAGATAATATAAGGAACAAGATGTATTCACTGAGACATTTATAAACAGACTGGCTTTTACTTTTAGTTAAAATGTAACTTCTATTTCATAAGGAGGATGAATCACAAAGTATTCCTTCCACTCACTATTGTTTTTGGTCTGGGTGTGTCACATCATGTCTCAGATTAAAGTCACGATAATTTGTCCAGAGCCTCTCACTGCAGGCAAGTCTGGCTTCACTGATGTGCTAGACTACAGTGTGGTCCTGGTTCAAATTTCCAGTGGGCCGTTTTTATGCTTTTGTCTTCTAATGTGACGTTCTTGAATACTGAGTGGCATGGTCCTTTTGGAAATTGGAGGTTAGGTCGAAGATGTCACCCTTTTATCTATGATGCACTTTATTTAAAGATGGGTTTAATTCAAAAGTTTCTACAGCCTACTGTGTCTTGTAGCTGAGTGATCACTAATGAGATCTAAAAGAGATAGTGACAATACATTTTGTTTGAATTTATCCAACCCTGGTTCTATTATTATTAAATAATTTATGTATTTATATTATCATTTTTTAAACCTGGTGACTTAAAAGTTTTGTTTTTCAGGAATAAATGAAAAGTGATGTGTAAGCCATGCCTTTCCAGTCAGAGCATATAATTTTTCTTTGTTCGAAAGCTCAATTTTTCGAGTACCGTACATTTAGTCCACCTTCTAGTGTACTTGATCATTGTTTTTATGTAAAAATTGTGCAGCCTTCTGTAAAATAATGAGCAAGCTGTGATTCGGATTGAGTATTCAGAACTCGGTCAGCGGTAAATGCCCAATATATCTTGCTGTGTCGGGGTTCTTTTATCTGTGTTGTGTCACTCTTCAATGTATTCTTGATTTTGTACATTTGGGCTTTGTCTTGTGCTCCTGCTGCTTCAAATTTTTCTCGAGCACATAAACCAATACTCGTGTGTATGACGTTCATATATCATCTTGTAATTACAAAATGTAAATGGTATAATGTGATAATGAACAATATTTTCAACTCTTAAAGGACAATCCGCTATAATTGAAAATTTAGGGGATTTTTGTATGTTAAGAGCCTAAGTATTTTGGGGTTTTGTTTAAAGCCTTTTCCAGGGAGTGACATTTGTAAAAAGAAGAAAGTCTTTAAAGTTGCTGGTTTAGGAAACCCCCCCCCCTGCTCTTCTGTTCCTCTTTTATTCATTTTATCAATTGACATGTGGGTGTGTTGTTGTTGTTTTTTAATTGAGTGGATTACAGTTAAGGAATGATAAGGGTTATGTATGGTGGGCCCCAGCTATAACTGGACCGCTGGGACGGGTGTAATGTCCCTGTCATAGATGGGGATCACGTTTACATACACTGACTTCATTAACAAGTAATGGAATCTTTATCACACAGATTACCCACTACCAATTCATCAGTTATTTCTCCTATCTTGTCCACTGATATTATTTGCTTCTCATCTTTGTCTTTCTTTTTCTAGTACCTTAGTCTCATGGAGGTTGACTAGGCATCTTTTGAGATGCACAGGTCATAGCCTAATGAAAGCAATAATTGCATTTATTTAGGGCACACCGTGCTCTACTATACAACCACATGTATTCATAATCAAACAGTTACCACAGTGGGGAAAAGGAACACACATAGAGCAGGAGTAGATCAAGCTCCCAGTGCGTACTTTTCATTCAATCATGTTTCCACTACAAGTCTCACCATCCCATGAGGAGACAATGTGATGATCTAGTGCCGGACCAAGGTCACACTAAGACACTGAAATCACTGACTGGAAAATCTGGATTAACACCAAAGTACATCTGGCATCCCCCTCCCTCCCCTGTATACATTGAATGACACACATCATAAACAACTTACGCCTCTTGTGGGTTATGTTGGTACAATTCGCCATGGATGTTTTGCTTTATTTGCACTTTTTCTGCTGTCCTGTCCATATTTCAGAATGTTGTCAAAGCTTGGACCTCAGTTATAGGGGAGCATGCATGCCTAATCTGAAAATAATACAAGAAGAGATAGGGCTCGGAGATTTATTATGAATTATTATTATAAGCCTGCTATAACTTAACTGAAATCCTGTGGGGCCCACTTCTTCCTGCAATTTTCAGTCTTTTGGATTTTGCAAACTTTTTTCAGTCATATGCTTGTATATTTTAGTTTGTGTACAAGACTTGGGTCATTTTAGTTCTGCCATGTAATGATAGGTCTGGTAATATTATACTTATTGTGCCACTGCATTGCAGGCGTTATGTTCTGATTGCCTGATTTTGTTTTGTTTTTTTCAAGTTTGTAGGCCTACTTCTTCCTGGCATTGCAGCCTTTTGACATTCATGTATTCACCATAGTTAAATGTTTTGTCTCAAAGATAAGAAGACCCTTGTAAATGTCATAATCTATATTTTTTTCCGCTTCATGTTCTGGGTCACTGCATATGCATGGTGTCTTGCTGCCTTTACGACTAATTTTTTTTTGGGTCTTGTCTTCTGTTCTTTCCCAGTGTTTATAGAAATGTTTTATTCTATCATAGAAATGTTTTTCTTCTTACTCTCCAGATTTCAGAAATGAGATCTTCTTCCATAGTAGTAGCAATTGACATTTTGCGTAAATTATGTATTTTTGGTCATCCTGTGTGACTGAAAGCCCAAAGTACTCAGTTCGTTCTTGTATATTAGTAAATATTACTGTACAAAATTGGGCAACCTCTCCTCAAACGTGACCCTTTTAATGAAACCATGATGCCAAAAATAATCTGTATGCTGCATGTGTCTCTGCTGTCTTGTCTTGTGTCACGGAGTGACAGATATTGTGCTAAGTTATCACACACTGCTTGGGGTTATTATACTCCATTCAGTGCTTCTGTTCCTGTCCTGGGCCGTAAAGCGCATTTGAAATCTTAAATGAAAGACTTTATTTCGATATTTGTATTCTAATCTTGCCACCCACTTGCATTTACAAATAGCTTTTCTGGCCATGATAGATCAGAATGCCCTTATGTTGGTCTTACAGAAAAGTTCTTCATCCGCTTACCCCATCCTATCTGCTGCAGCTATTAATGTATGATGATAGAGTTTGCTGTAAAATATGCTGTTCAGGTTGTTTCTGCTTCAGTTCAGATTTGGTCGTTGAAATTAAAAGTACATGTGTCATCCGGTGCTGAACATTTTACCTTCATTTATGTACAAAAAATTCTTTTATACAATTTTTTCACATAAT